TGAACGTATCGCGTCGAAAGTGCGTGATTTCTTTTGATTACCTCTTCTAATATTGATTGATTATCTCGCAAGAAAGACAGAGATCATAAAGTGTTCATTGTGAACGCAAAATGGAAGAATTGTCATATTTTTTCTATTAACCTGAATAATTTAATTCTATTAACCTGAATAAAAATAGGCGAAGAAATAGATTAAGAAGATAAATTGTATGTCACGTTAATTTACGACAAATTATTGATTATTAGAGCAAAAGAGGAATGCACGGAATATCTTAGAAATTTGTTTAATCGATTGCAAGTGTTACTTTATGGATATATATTTTTATTTTAACGTGTCACAAGAATTTTTAGCATCACATTTTCTCGCTTCTGACGTTATCAACAAGAGATAGACAATGTGAGAGGCCAGGAGCCTTAACTTCAGTTTATTTTAATTACTGTGTCGGGATGACACATTGCAACCCAGCAAATACCAATTAATAGTACACGAAGAAAACACCTATATGCACTTGGCACCCGACATTAACAAAAAAAAACTGCGACTACTTTTGTCCTTCATTTGTATCTGTTTGTATCACCCTTAGTTTCGTTTGTATCTCAATAGTGAACAAAATAGGGCGAATCAACAAATAGCCAGCATCTCCACGACGAGATATCTCGAAACGGCTATATACGTTATTACCATTGTATAAACTAAGTAACTAATTACCATTGTATAATTCGACAATGTAACTATTAGGGTGAAATTAAATTCAGAGTAAGGATGAAATTACATAGTGAGTAAGAGCTGTAGAATAGAGAGTGCGTCATAGAAGCAACCAATCAACACTATGCCTCTCTTTTCTATCACGCTAAATTTTATGTGCTGATTAGTTGGTCCTATGACGCACTCTCTATTCTACAGCTCTTTTACTCACCATGTAATTTCACCCTTACTCTGAATTTAATTTCACCCTAACAGTTACATTGTCGAATGGAAAATTATAACATATGATGTAATGTTACACGGGAAAAAAAGATAGTGCGCATAACCAGAAATGTTTAGTTGTGAGCAGCACACCCATACAGCATAAGATTTCCTGGGGATGTCTCAGAGATGTCCTGAGGACGTAGAAACGTCCCCGGTACGTCCTCAGGACGTACTCTGGACGTCTTCTGGATATCTGTGCTGTTAGGGTAGTTGCATCACACCTTAGTTTATACAATGGTAATAACGTATATAGCCGTTTCGAGATATCTCGTCATGGAGATGCTGGCTATTTGTTGATTCGCCCTATTTTGTTCGCCCGCAGTTCTTTTATTCTGCAAGTAATTTCACCCTTACATAACGCTCGTGTTATATTGCATTTAGATTGTTGAGTAGGAAATTAAAACATTGATTATATTTTACCGATAGTTGGCATTTACTGGGAAATAAGCGTAAAACAATTTTCTCCTTTCAGGAAATTCCGAATAACTCGATGGCGAAAATATCGACAAAATGTGTCTTTGTCACAAACTATCGTTACCCTCGCGGATATCATGAAAAGTATCATCAGTGATTAGATTTGACAGAAACCCGACGAAATCTTAGTCCAATACCAACGATATCTAGCAACAAGTATACTTTTTCATATATTTCCCAGCTAGCATAGTTGAAAGCAAGTTAACGTATCGTTTGTTTATTGTTTAAATCGGATATGGTGTTACAATATAGATGTAAAATATTTAGAATATATGTTGCAGGAGAGGTGGGGGAAGAGAAAGAGACGGAGGAAGACGAAGAGAGACGAAAAGAAACGAAGAGAGACAGAGAGAGAAAGAGCGAGAAAGAGAGAAAGGGGGAAACTTTACAAAATTACGCACTGAATATTATAATAATACATTATATCTTAATAATTTGTACACATACTTCTTTTTGTAAGTTTATAAAGTCTCTATGTTCGTGACACATACTTATTTTTATGCATTAATAACATAATAATAAAACTACGCATTCGCACGTTTTCTATCATACGATAAGACTTACGATAAAATTACATTTAATAATTTGGTGCCTTTGACTGTGAAGTAATGACATACTACACAGACAATTCATTGTTCAACTTAAAAGTCGAACAATGAATTATGAGCAAAACAAAAGAATGTTGTAAAGAATATGTATTTATTATTTATACGTAAATATTTACATATTTCTTAAAAAATTATGACATTTCATTAGTCTAAATCTGCGCAGAACATACATTCACCTGCACAGGACATATTCAAGCCTGCGTAACAACTACAAAATACGATTAGATTATTAATAATATGTATATTATATATTAACATTAATAATTTTTTAATATATTAACGAATATATATAAAATATACATTTTATTAATAATATATTTTAAATTCGTTTCTTATGTTAAAATTGTTTTTTTTTTCATGCTTCCATCTCTTGTAATTCTATTAATTTCTAAGCTAAAACGTAGTTGATGAAAATTGATCATTACACAAAGTTGATTATTATAGAACGAAAGAAATGTGTTGTATGGATTTTTGACAAAACATATGTAAATTCTTCAAAATCTGTGTACATATATTTATATAAATATTTCAGTATATTATGTATGATACAAGTACAACTTGTCTTTATGTGTAACACTGAAATCTCATTGCACACGTCGAGCTTTACGTGAGTTATGAGTATACAAGTTATTGATATACTTTAACAATACGCACTTAATAGTTATTAAATTATTTCTAATCAATAAAATTCAATGTACTGAAATTCAATGTAACGAAGGTCCGCAACTATGTCACGCAATTAATGGTAAATAAAATAAAAAGCAGGGAAAAAAGAAGACAGTATCGAAGTGTAAAACATCTTCACAAATATCCAGAAGCTTTATTCGAAGAAAGCATCCTCGACAAAACGTATCTTGTAAATACTCGCTAATTCTTTGTTTTGAATTACTTTCTTAAACCGTCATATAACAGCCCCACGACTGTAACAGATATGCATTGCACAAGCACGGTAGGTGAGTACTTGCTTCGCAAAAAAGAGATGTATGCAATGAAATCACACAGCATGACAAAATTAATTTGACGCCGTGATGTTGTTCACGTTATTTATCGCCATGCCCGCATCCAGAGGTGGTATATCGGCGCTGTTACGTATCTCGCGCGATATATTCTCTAAAGTTTCCATCTCGATATCTTCGTCTGAGTTCATCCTAATACCGTTACCGTCTTTTCGTTTCTGCACTTCAACGGCTGCAAGATCAAACACTTCCTCCATTATCTTAGTAGCTGTATCCGTAGAGGTGATGAGTGAGTTTTCGTATTTCTCCCTCTTATCCCGCAACTCACACTCATTGTTCCCCATCAACTGCTCGAGATCGTTCACGTCTTCCGTTGGTGTTGCTTCCTCCGTCAACAAATCATTTGTCGCGACTGTTTCCTCTGTGACTTCTTTGGATTGTACGACAGTTACGTCGTTACTATCTGCAACATTAACCATCATTACGTCGTCATCCTCCTCCTCCTGTTCTTCTACATCTTTATTTTCCAGCTCATCCAATATTTCACAATTCAAAAGATTTGGCTTAATGGTACTATCTGTGCTATCGTCGTATTTATCAACATCCGTAACCTCCTCGTCTTTTTTGTCGATCTCTTTGTGCTGTTTTTTCGGATAATCAATCACCGAGTTCTCTTTGTCATCCAATATTTCTAATGTCTCGCTATCTGCCGTGAATATCTTCTCTTCCGATTCCTTCGGATCTTCCTCTTGAGAATCGTTCGTTAAATCTACCGACAATGTTACATCTGCATCCTTCGTTCTCGCGTTCTTGTCATCTTTGTGATTGTTTTCTAAATTATTCTCGAGGTTCTTGTCATAATCATTATTATGTTCGACAGTATTATCCTTATTATTTTTAGCAGTTGGTGAGATTGAGGATTCAGTTTTCTCGTTATCGAGCTTTATTTCGTCGTCAAGGTCCTTGTTACACTCTGTCTCTCTTTCCGCGGCGGATGTCTTCTTCGTGTCATCTTCTATCGTCGTGTCTTCGTCTTCTTTCTCACCATCAGACATCTTAAGATTCTCGACAACGGTAACGTTATCTTTCCGTGCATAATCATCTTGGTCCTCCGTCGTGTCACCCTCGTCTATCAATACCGTATCTTCGTTCATATCATCCGCCACCTCGGTTGCCGTTTCATCAAACACAGTCGTCGAATCACCGCATTGTGGCGGTTCTTTCGCAATCGCCTCTTCGTCGACTTGGATTTTCAAAGACTCGTCTTCTTGGTGCGATTCATTCTCCTTCGCCTTCGGTTTTTCCATCTGATCGTCTTTCTGCTGTTGTTTCTCGTCGCCGACATTAATAACGATCTCCTCAGATAGATCGGTCGAGTTTCTGTCGACGAGCTCAGTTCCGCTAGTGCTCGCCTTTGCTTCCTCGGTGTCAGTCCTGTTCTCTTGCACGTCAACTTTTGATTCTTGTTCCTCCTCTATACTAGGGATGCTAATTCTCTCTAGATTAAGCGTAAGCTGCTTGCCGTGCGTGAGCTTGTGCTGCGCTTGTGTCAACTTCGTATTGAATTTCTTATCACATTTGTCGCATGGATATTCCTGCGATGCTATGATCTTCGGGCTCTTGAACTCCGGGGGCGGCGTCATTTCCTTGCTAGAAATAGACGACGATCTTGTTCTGCTGCGAGTCAACGTCATCGATGCGATAACTTTCGCCTTTTTCTTCGAGCTTTTACTGCTAGCCTCGTTAGACGACTCGTCGTTAGATTCTGAGCCGACATTCTTGGCTTCCATGATAACAGGTTTCTGTCTCTTGGCGACTGTTTTGTACGCATCGTCCTCTTCGGAGGCTGATGAAACTCGCATTAAGTGATTAGTCCGTCTCAAGCTGCGCTTCGTTTTGTTCCTCGTGACCGACGTCTTTTGAGAATGTTCCGAGTCTGTGCTCCAATCTTTGTCGCTTATATCTTTTCTCTTACGTCCCTGTTGCCTTTCAAAACTAGTAGACGGCTGATCCAGATCAGACAACGCCTTCGTAGATTTCTTGTGCACGATCACAGATGCTTTCTGTCGTTTGAACGGCATGCTCTCCGCATCACTCTTCGCAGAATTAATTCGCCGTTTTCTACCACCTCGTCTTGAGCTGCCGTTCGCAGTCGGTTTCCTCTCGCGCAGCAACATCTTCGGACTATTTTTGTCTTCATTTTGTGAACTCTGGTCTGATGAAATATTCAATTCGTCATCCTTGTCCTTCTCTTTGTCACTCTTGATCTCCTTGTGCGTATTGTCATTGTTGTGCGATCCCACGTTCAGCACATCCTTCAGATAAACGGTGCACAATTTCGTCTCCATTGATCTGTTATTCGAATTTCTCCTCGATCTTCCCTTGTTCGGATCGGTCGTTATCCAACAGTTTCTGCATACCGTCTGGCCCGTGTGATACAATCGGTACATATCCATGCCATTCTCGACAACGTTGTTGCACTGGTCGCAACTTCGCCTCTTCAGTTTGGCATTGTTCTGCGACTTCGTCGTGTTGCTCTTTTTTACAGAGTTTTTGCGCGGTTTGCCGCGCAATTTACCGCGCGATTTGCCACGTGCCATCTCGTCGTCGCTTTCGTTGCCGGAGCTTACTAGTTCATACAACGTGGTGTCTGGGAACGTGGTGATGGTCGTTTTGCGATTCACAACATCTGTATATACCTGCAATTTAAAAAAAGTGTGTGTTTACAATATACAACCGTAAATGAAATATCAATAGATATAACAATAAAAAAATAACAAAAAATGAGACTGTATTTTGCAATTATTACCTTTGGGAAACTTGAATAATCCAACTCTTTGTTGATCAAATTTTCTAGATTGTTGACTGTTTGCTCGTGTAACTTCTTCAGATCGTACAAAACATCCAAATTATATCGACACACCAGACACACTAGTTTAAAATGGCTGACCTTTTTGGAGAGCTAAATAAATAAACAGAATAATTTTAACATACACATTTATCTGTATATAAAACAAATAGAGTGTGTTTTCTAGAACTGCATTAAGTTGCACCACTTATACTTGAGAAATAAAATATATGTACACGATACTTGGCAGGGAAGGAAAGAAAAATGAAAGATCACAAGACAGTTCAGAAAATGCAGCTATAAAGAACAGCTTATCCAGACTGCAACTTACATCCTCAGTAAAGATCTTGCGAATTTTCTGCAAAGGACTAAATATTGAACGGTTGTCCTCAGTGATATCAAAGATATGACCACTTTCTACAGGCTCGCAGCACAAAGAGCAGTACGGTACTAATGTGGCTTTTGGAATTCTCAAGGAATCTTGCGACTTCTGGCTCTTCTGTAGAAACTTGGAACACTGATCTAATTCATATGCACACTTATAGCATATTTTGTTGGACAACTCAATGGTTTGATTGACCTAGAGTAAAAGAACAAGTGATAACCTCAAAAACATTATTTTCGAAAATTATTATTACTACATTATTATTTGAAATGTATTATCGCAGAAAAGCAGCAATAGCGTAATTATATATAAAGAATAAAGAGCAAAGTGTGTTAAGTTACATTTTATTGACTTTCGTGAATAGACAAAATGTAGATATCGATCTCGTACATTTTGGACAATTACAAAATGGAGAAGAAACGGAGGGAAAAGCCAGGGAAATAAAAATAATTCGATCGAGCGCATTTGTGAATTCGCAACGCACTTCAATCATCAGATTTCGATAACCTTATCAAAATATGGCACGTACATCGCGCACTAAGAAACATATATTCTACTCACTCGTTATACGCGCGCGAAATTCACCAAAATGGAAATTCATGTCGTTTTGAGTTTGGTTTCACTCGGTCATGATAAAAAATCGAGCCAAATCGAGATCTAAATCACTCATCACTCGTAGAACAGTTTTCCCTTCTTTTGCGTTTGCGATATTTATCGGCGATACTGTATCCTTACATACACTAGTGTAACTATGCCTCTGACAGAGAATAGATGGTACGTTGGTAAACATGCATTCGTGTGTGATCGCACACTCAAACAATGGTGCGTATTTCAAAATAGCACGACAAATAAAACGCAACTTGCATTGTCGTCATGACATGGAATGAAATACGACTAATATAATTGTCTGAGTCGTTTAGTCTCGAGAGCTGAAGTACTGATTCAACCGTGAACCAACCTAACCTAAATTACCTGGGACCAAACGTAAACGCACCAACAAATATACCTATTTCTCGAGTTTGGGGAATATATAGTATACGTTGCAACGAAGGAACGAACAAAAGGAAATGAGAATAACATCAAAAAACGAAATTAGAAGTCTTCTTCGAAGCCAACGTGTACACCTTCGATTACAGAAAGTGCAGCTAGCAGCATACGCAGATTATCGCCGGCTCTCAGTGACAAAACGATGATTTCCCTGGGAAAGCTCTAATGACTTTTTACCTTCTTTGATAAGCACGCCTCGATCTGACCGCTGAACGCCGCCCGAACACTTTCCGACGTGACTTCTAAGAAGACACCCTCGTCGCTTGCGCATAGGAAACAATAGCGGGACATAGCGACGCGTGATGACGTAATCACGAGAGACCAAGCTCTATGGGACACAGACACTCTCGAACCTCTCACGAGGATCCTTGCACGTGAATGTGTCACTACGTAGTACACTATTCTATCACTTTCCACGCCGAACTGACGCTATTACCTGATAAATTGGCGGTAATCTCGTGCATAATAACAAAATGGCGGATCTGCGCGATATATCGAATGACCACGTCGATACACTCGAACTGCAGCGCCTCACGATTCTTAGGTTTGTTTTTCGTTCCTAGGCCCTTGTTCTTGAAATAAATAGTTGCATATACGTAAGTTTTACTGCGCAAGTTTAATCATACCATAAAATAGCTGCGCAATGAAAATTACGTGTACGCAAAAATTTCAAAAATATAGCCTCTGTACTACTGGTACAATAGATTAGAGCGAGAAAAAATATACTTGTCTCACTCTAATTTATTGCACCAGTTCAGCAGTGCAGGAACAGAAAACAGACCCCTTGAATCTCGACCATTGAATATATATTAGAGGTGCGCTCGCTTTAGCTGGAACACACGCTGCCTCTTGAGTGCTGTGGGATGAGAGAGAGGTCCCTCTGCTTCCTGAGGGCTGCGGAATGAGAGAGAGGGAGAATGTGAATATTTTCCCATGAAGAGAGAAGGAGATCGAACTCTATATAATAAAAGTAGTCCTGATCGTGTTCCCTAATTGAGAGGGAATTCACTGAAAGAAATAACTTCTTATGGTTGAGCACTATTTGTAAAGCAATAAGTTAAGCGAAGCCTACAATGGAAGTCATAAAGTTGTAGGTTATAGAAATTAACCATTCACGATCGATTATTCTTCTCATACTCGATCGCGATTGGTCAATTTCTACACATACAACTTTACAACTTCCATTGTAGGCTCCGTTTAATTTATTGCTTTACAAATGGCGCTCAACCATAAGAAGTTATTTCTTTCAGCGAATTCTCTCTCAATTAGGGAATACAAATCAGGGCCACTTTTATTATATGGAGTTCTCCTTCTCTCCTATTTCATGGGAGGATGTTCACATTCTCCCTCTCTCTCATTCCGCAGTCCTCAGGAGGCAGAAGGACCTCTCTCTCATCCCGCAACATTCAAAAGGCAGCGCGCGTTCCAGCTAGAGCAAGTGATAGAAATTTTGATTCCCGAGCAGTACGCATCAGCACGGAAGGGAATACGCACACACTCACACGACCGTGTCCATGAGCCTCACAGACACGGTCGCGTGAGTGTGTGCGTATTCCCTCCCGTGCTGATGCGTGCTGCTCGAGAATCAAAGTTTCTATCACTGGCTAGAGCGAGTGTTAAGTGAAAAGCACTCCTAATATATATTTCAGTGGTCGAGATTCAAGGGATCTGTTTTCTGTTCCTGCATTGCTGAACTGGTGCAATAAGTTAGAGTGAGACAAGTATATTTTTTCTCGCTTTAACTTATTGCACCAGTTTAACAGTGCAAAGCCCATATTTTTGAAATTTTTGCATATATGTAATTTTTATTGCGCAGCTATTTTATGGTATAATTAAACCTGCGCAGTAAAACTTACTTCTACACGTACTCTATGATTTCTATTGTAGATCCCGCTTTAGAGTGAGATAAAATATACTTGTCTCACTCTTACTGCAGTTCAGTGGTGCAACTCTAGCTTTTTAGCTGCACTACCGAACTGGCGCAGTAAGAGACAAGTATTTTATCTCGCTCTAACTTATTGCTTTACAAATAGTGCCCAACCATAAGTTATTCTTTTCAGCTGATTCCCTCTCAATTAGGGGACACGAATCAGGACCACTTTCTCTATTCGCGCTATCAAGTTCGATCTCTTTGTCTCTTTTCATGCATTTTCTCCACTCTCGACTATATCTATGGCCGGTATTCATAATCAAATCTTATTTCAAGACAGTCTTAAGTAATGTCTTAAGATGTGAATACGGCTCTGTGATTGGTTCATGACATCTTAAGACAGTACTTAAGATGATCTTAAATATAAAATCGGACTATGAATCAGATAAGAATAAGAGAAGAAACAGGAACTTCTCTCTCATCCCGCACTCCTCAAGAGGCAGCGTGCGTTTCGAATATATTTCAATGATCTCGGCGAGATAAAATCATATGATTATTTTGTCATCTAGTCGAGTTAGCAATTTCGCGGCGCTTGATCTCGGCGTCTTGAATTTGATGTCTTACATATACGTTCTATATGTACACACAAATAATTTCACAAATAATTAAATCAAAAGCAGAAAGTATGCAGAAGATAAAGTAAGCCAATGAGTAATCTCCTCTCTGTCCTCAAGCCAAAAAATGTACTTATTATCCTGGGATAGATTGTAAATAAAGCATATGAGACAAAAAAATGTATACGTGGCAGCCTAAAATCGATTTAGTAATTCTAGACATTTTATAATTACCAATAGTTGTGTCGTAATTGTTTATACATCGACAGGTAAACACATCTCAGGCAGCAGAAACTTCTAAAAGAAATCTTAAAGGTGTCTAGAAAACGTTCTATTATTTCAGACGTCTTTTGGTAGCTATCTAGAATCGATAATTATAATTAATTAGTTATTAAATTATTAAATTAGTTATTAATTATTAATGATTTAAATTATTAAATTAATTGTAAATATAATTATTAATATAATTGTTAATATAATTTAAGAATTAATTTATGAATTATATATTAATATCGAATTATGTTACACTATAGTTGATAAAAATGTTTTATTAAGGTTCCTATAATTTATTTAGATTTGGTTTATTACTTATTTAGAGAAGTTAATAAATTACATGAGTAATTAATCGTTAGATTATAGTTGATCTCATGTTGTTCATTTAAATTTGTTACTAAACCGATTTAGATTGCCATTGAAGCATAATAACTTGTGACTTCGCTTGTGTCACTTAATTTGTGAACACGCTGCGAATGCAATGTCGGAAAACATAAACGCAGGATTTATTTGCAGGAACAACACTAAACAGTTATTGTACAGAAGTATGTGTCTCGCTGTCAAACGTCGAAGCTATTACTAAGGTGGCTCATTCGTTCGTCGTTAATTCCGCGACAAGAGTGAAAGTGTGTTTGTGTCTATATGTAACAAATTGTCACTAGTCGCAGGGACAGATACACCATCGTGTGATCGTATACATTTTTTTTTACAGCGCGGCACTCGGGTACACTCTCGATACCTGTTCTCCTCGCTATCTAATACCCGTCGCGCGGAATCCGCCGTCGAAGGGTCATGAACGATCTCGCAATATATGTGTATTTCGCACAAATGAAAATTTGCTAAAGTACAAATTATTCCTTACACTCGCTCTATTCAACTCGACACCCTGCGACTCTCCTTTTGTGCGTCCTCACTCACGGCCGGCGATCCCTCTATTTGGTTCTTCGGCCCGCTGAATAGAAGCCTGAGGGTCTCTAGTGCCGACGAGAAAATACTCCTACAATGCAAAAATACACGTGCAAAAACAACCCATCGGTTCCAATATTCACTGCCAAAAACTAGTCTTTGTCTAGTTTATGTCGCGCAAACTATAGATTATCAGCACTGTCAGTAATTTCCGAATGCAACCCTAGTCGATATTATTAGCGGCGTATCATGCACATTAATAAAAAATCAATCATTATCCAGATAGCACAGAGAATACAAAAAGAATTCAGTCATATGTCACCAATTCTGAGTTTATTTTTGGATGCAAAAAGAATTCTTTTCACTGAAGAATTCTTTATTATATTTTCAATACTGTCAGTGAATCAGAACTTAAGGCCATTATTTTCAAGTCTCTTTTATCAACAAAAGTGTCTCTAAAAGTTTATAGCTAATAGGAAGGCTTATAAGCCATGTTTAGAGGAACTTTTATCGATAAAAGAAAATTCAGCATAAGGACCTGAGTCTGCAACTAGTCTGTGGGACCCAGACCTAGTCCAACATTAAGAAAAAGCTGTCCAACATTAATAAGAATAACGTTAATGAAGAAGATAAAGCATTATCATATTGCGTTGAATAACCTTTACAATTAACGGAGGTAGAACCAAGTTACCGCAGAAAAATACAAATAAATTTTATTTATAAACTAAGCCATTGTACACAAGACAAGTTATTCGAATAGCAGAAACCTCTAAACGGCGTCTAAAGCCGGTATTCATGATCAAATCTTTTATTTAAGATCGTCTTAAGTTCATCTTCAGAAAATAACCGGGTCATTTTACTGGCTACGAAGTATCTGAAGATGAACTTAAAACGGTCTTAAGTATAAGATCCGACTATGAATACCGACCTTAAGCCCTATATACAATGCTAAGCAACAACGATAAGAACAGCAATAGGAATAGTATAGAAATAAGCGATATATAATTGTCGCCTGCGGTTGCACAATGCCGCGAAAGAAATAAAAACCAAGCAATCAAACTACATATAGACTGTAGTCGGCTCTTTTATCTGGTTTAGGTAAACGTAATCTAAAAACGTCAAAAGTTTATTAATAGATAGTGAAGTTTATTAATAGATAGATATTAATAGATAGAGAAACTATAATATTATATCAAAACGTTCAAAATTGCCTTTAAGTATTTTTTCAGATTTTCGTTAGCAAATTTTAGTAAGTATGTTTTATTGTGTTTGAACTAAAATATTACAAAGAAAATATCTGAAATGTTTTCATATATATACATTGTTATGCATATTATATTTTTACGCAAATTATATTTAGGTAAAATGGAAGATGAATTGACACTTATCTGCATAATGCAAACATCTTTCAGTTTTACGTCCCTATAATCTTTCATTTTTTATCATATAAGTAAAGACCATTTCGTACAAGGTCGATTAGAAGTTCATCACCGAATTTTATATTATCGCTCACTTGGTTGCCATTATTGCCATCAAACGTATCTTGTGTATTGGACAATATTGATCATTCGGAAAGTCATTTTTATTATAATAATTGAAATGATCCATTTTTTAATCAAACTAGTTGACAAGTTGATTCGAAACTGAACTTGATCGTATGTGTGCCGTGAAAAGAGATTAAAACTATATAGTGTATATAAACAGAATTAAAAATCCGAGCGCTGTGATTGGTAGACTATAAGGCGATAGACATAGATTTCCAACTTGTCGGAAATTTTATCGCTATTCCGTGTTCCGATCTGCATTGACATATGCATTGCCGAATGTTAGATTTTTCTGTTCTTATCGCTACTTTTTTTGCCTGTGTTATTTCTGTCGCTATCGCTATTCCCTCGCATTGTGCAAGGTCTTCAAAATATCTTCTACTTTAGTGTCTTCAAAATATCTTTCAAAAATTTCTGCTAGCTGGGTTATTGGCGTATGGGCAATTATTCAGGCTTCCATTGACCGTTTTTAAGAAGAAGAAAAGAAGGATCCAAAAATGAACTCAGAATTGGCAACACATGACTGAATTCTTTTTGTATTCTCTGTGCTATCTGTATGATTGATTTTTTATTAATGTGCATGATACGCCGCTAATAATACGTTATCGATTAGGGTTGCATTCGGAAATTACCGACAGTGCTGATAATCTATAGTTTGCGCGACACAAACTAGTTTTTGGCAGTGAATATTGGAACTTAGCCGATGTGTTGTTTTTGCATGTGTATTTACCTTACGCAATCTCTCACGTTTGCGTAGATCTGACTGGCCGGCAGCTTCACGGAGGGCAGCTTTTCTTCAACGTAGTCCAGGCCGACGCAGACGGCATCATCCACGGCTTTGAGCGGCGTCTCCAAAGCGTCGGTGACGCGGTCGGTGACGGGGCTGGCGAACTGCAGGCTGGCGCGCACACCGTCCTCAGCGTGTCCGAATATCGTCGCAACCGCCTCATGCGAGCCCTTTGTGACCGCGTAAGCGTTGCGAAGGGCCGCAGTCACTGCGGCGAGCAACGGCAGATCCATCAGACGTCGCGTGCACACCATGTGCACACCATCGTGCGTGTTCGTGTCGGCGTCAGCCGTCGGTCTGGGGGACTCGTATGTGCCGCACATAATACTCAATTGCTGCGCGGAAAGTAATAACAGAATGACAGGTGAATAAAAACAAGGGCCGTACTTTGGAAAAATATCGTGTATATGTCATTTCGATAGAAACCCATATAGCTCAAATCTCTAAAAGACTTTTTAAAGAGTTCCAAAAGACTTTCCAAGTCCTCCAGACCACTTTTAGAATTCTTTAAGAAGTCTTTTAGAGATTTGTGTTATTTGGAAAGCTATAGTATACGTAACATGAACTGTAGCTTTCTATAAAAATATCGCATACGATATTTTCCGAGAATAAGACCTTTGTGGTGCGATTCTGTAACTCGTTATTGCAGTTAACGACAGTTTCATTTTATCGTTGTGCAACTTTTTCGAACCGTAGAAAAGCTGTGAGACAATGACGAGACTGTCGTTAACTACAATAATGAGTTATAGAATCGCACTACAGGAGGCCGTATTTTTGAAAAGTATCACGTGCGATATTTTGATGAAAAGTTATGATATATGTAACATAAACTACAGCTTTCCATAGGAATATCATATGCGATATTTTTCGAGAATAAGGTCGCAAGTTATACACCAGCAAGCCGCTGCCTCATAATACGACTTCGCTCGATATTCGCGGCAAACTCGAGAGAGAAGGGAAGGAGAAAAAAGAGAAAAAAGGAAGTTCCACGCACTTAACGTGGTCACTTGGTCCTGATTTTAACCCTTCAAGCGCCGGATTACTTTATTTGTTATTTTTGTATCTTGGTTGAGCATAAAGTCAGCTATCATTTGTCGCTTCGCCTTTTAAGAGTATCCCTTAATTATAATGTATGACAAAACTAACTAGTATGAACTATATGATAAATACTCAATAAAGAAATAATAATAAAATAGTAATGTTTTTTGCACAAGCTAGTGATCTTTATAATGCCAAAACAGATACTTGATGTAGAGAGAATTTTTGCAGAGAAGATAATTGAAAATTGATTTTGAAGATTTCTCTCTTCTAGTATTTCAATTGTATGTTATGATGTGACAACGATCTTTTGAATTTGTAACAAGAAATCTGAAAATAAATATAAATCAGCGCCGAGGATATTTATGACCATTTCATATATTGTCCTCTTCTTCTAATTCTTTTTCGCTTTTCTAGGTAGTTAAAATTTTGATTTTAACATTGGAAATAAAAATATGTAAATAAGGAATATTTATCCGATAGTCACTAATAACGTAAACACTTAAATCTAAATCCTTTTATCTAAATAAAATAAACAATTGATTTTATGAAAATCAAAGTTTTTATGGAAATATTTTCTTATTCGAAAAAATTTTTATATTAGTTTAAGTAAATATATTGTTAGTACTCATCGAATAAATATTGATTTTTTAAATATTTTTTCTCTCAGTATATACTGAAAGAAAAATACTGGAAAATTTATTTGTGGTATATTTCTGCGAATAAACTTTATATCCCATAACTAAATTTTCAAGTGTTTTTTCTCAGTGTGTATCTGAGGTAATCTAACTAGAACAATCTTGATGATGTCGAACTGACGAGAAAATTATCGAATTGTGATATAAGATTGAGTTTTTTCGTCATTTTCTCGTCATCTAGTATGATTTTGACGTTATTATGAATATTTGTTCTGCAACAAGTATTCTTCTCAGTGCAGGAACAATTTTGCGGGCAGCCGCTACAGTGGTTATTCATCGCAGAAGAGTTAACGCACGGACCACAATCGATCGATTTCCTCATGCATATGCATTCTGCAAGTCTGCCTGGGCAGACGTGTACGCAGAATTTTGCGCGACTAGTCGCGCGATTGGCTCATATTCAACACATGGCATGGCAAAAGGATGATGTTCGGCATGTGCGAAGTACACGCGATGTCGTGGAGGATCTCGTCTCAGGGTGAAGATCTTCCGCGACAGTGCGTGTCCAAGCCGGAGCAAGCCAGTGATATTTTTACTGAGAGCCCGCCATATAAAATCTGACGTAGTACGTGTCGAACGCGACGCTTCGGCGCGCAACGCTTAGAGGACGAATCCCCTGTCATCGTCGTTAACGTTATACGCACATGATATGCGATGCGCACGATAGCCGACGGTTGCTTGCTGATGTCATGCGACGTCTCGGAGGTCGTCATCGCTCTTGCCGCGCACAGAGACGGAAACTCGCGATTACAAAGGACGACTCGGCCGAGAGGTCGAGGTTCCCGCGTCGGCTCCTAAATTTAACCCGTCGACGCGCACTGTCCCTTTTACCTTGGCACTTCACGTCAGGTCGGTCGAGGTTGGCCGACGTAGGTCGCCGGTCTATACGCCTTCCGTGCATACCTCTCATCGACCACACGTCATATTCGTGCGCGGCGACCGCGCGCGAGATACAAAGGATATTCGCAGTATGAATCCCTAAAAGACATTTTAAAGACATTGGAAAGACTTGTCCTACTGTTTTAGACATCTGAAGGACGTCTTTCAGTAATTTGTACTAAGATAATATCGTGCTGTCAAAGACCAATGTGTTTTTATAGTTGCGGGTTATATTGTTATTCTTAAATTGTTATTATTTCCGCTGAGCTATTCGATGTTGATGGAAACTTTGTGGCCTTTAAGTTTATAATTCTCATGACGATAATGTACATTCAACTTTCTTATCTTATTTTAAACTGCCAATGGGCGCATTCAGTAGAAAAAGCGCTCAGTGAGCAATCAACGATTATTGGTTCTTGCTATTAGATCCCTAAATCTAGACCAATTACATTGACAAATTACTCAACAGTTGCACAACAGTTGAGTAATTTGTCAATGTAATTGGTCTAGATTTAGGGATCTAATAGCAAGAACCAATAATCGTTGATTGCTCACTGAGCGCTTTTTCTACTGAATGCGCCCATTGGCAGTTTAAAATAAGATAAGAAAGTT